AGCTTTTTTTTATTAGTGTAGCTTTTTTAATTGACTACTGTAGCTTTTTTATTACTATAGCTTTGTAATATAGTTTGAAATCAAAAAGTGTGATACTTTCAACATTGTGTTCTTCTTTCTCATGACTTTTCAACTACTTAGGATCTTTTATGATTCCATATAAATTTTAGGATTGTTCTGTTTCTGTGAACAATGCCATTGAAATTTTGATAGGGATTACATCGAATATATAGATATAGTATGACATTTTAACAACATTAATTCTAATCCATGAACATGGAATATCTTTCCATTTATTTGTGTCTTCTATTTCTTTAATGTCTTGTAGTTTTCAGTATACAGGTCTTTCACCTCCTTGGTTAAATTTATTCGTAGGTATTTTAATCTTGTTGATGCAGTTGTCAGTGGGATTGTTTTCTTAATTTCTTTTTCTGATGGTTCATTATTAGTGTATAGGAAAACAACAAATTTTTTTGTACTGATTTTGTATCTTTCAACTTTGCTGAATTTGTTTATTAGTTCTAACAGCTTTCTGATAGTGTCTTTAGGATTTTCTATATATTAATACCACCGTCTGCAAATAGTGACACGTTTACTTCTTCCTTTCCTATTTCCTTTTTTTTTTTAATTGCCTAATTTCTTTGGTATTGTGTTGAATAAAAGTGGCAAGAGTGGGCATTCTTGTCCTGTTCCTGATCTTAGAAGAAAAGCTTTGAGCTTTTTACCATTGAGTATGTTGTTATCTGTGGGCTTATCATACATGACCTTTATTATGTTGAGATATATTCCCTCTATACTGCTTTGTTGAGAGGGTTTTTTTTTTTAATCATAAAAGGGTGTTGAATTTTGTCAGATGCTTTTTCTGCATATGTTACAAAGATCATGATTTTTATCCTTCACTTTGTTAATGTGGTGTACCACATTGACTGATTTGCAGATGTTTAACCATCCTTGCATCCCTGCAGTAATTCCCTCTTGATCATATTGTGTGATTTTTTAAATGTATTGTTAAATTATGGCTTGCTAATATTTCATTGAGGATTTTTCCATCTATGTTCATTAAGGATATTGACTTGTAATTTTTCTTCCTTGTCTGGTTTTGGTATCAGGGTAACGCTGGTTTTGAAGCATTCCCTTTTATTTTTTTGGAATACTTTGAGAAGGATTGGTATTAATTCTTCTTTGAATGTTTGGTGGAATTCACTAGTAGAGCCATCTGGTCTGGACTTCCATTTGTTGAGAGCTTTTTGATTAAAGATTCAGTTTCCTTACTAGCAAAATGCTTTATATGAGTACAGCTACTTGCACTTTCTTTTGGTTTCCACTTGCGTGGAATATCTTTTCTCATCTCTTCACTTTGAGTCTGTGTGTATTTTTACATCTAAAATGAATCTCTTGTAGACAGCTTATAGATGAGTCTTGGTATTTTATCCATTTAGCCACTCTGTGTCTTTTGATTGGAGAATTTAGTCCATTTACATTCAGAGTAATTATTAATAGGTATGTGTTTATTGTCATTTTGTTAATTGTTTTGTGGCTATTTTTGTGCTTCTTCTCTTACTCTTTTCTTTTGTAGTTTGTTGGCTTTCTTTAGTGTTATGTTTATATTCTCTTTTTATTTTTTGTGAATTTACTATAGGTTATTTCTTTGTAGTTACCATGAGGCTTACATATAATATATCTGCAACGGCCTATTTTAAGTTGATAACAACTTAAGTTTAATCCCATTGTAAATCTCAACATTCTTGCTCTTCCCCCTCATGTTTTATGTTTTTGCTGTCACATTTTATATTTTTTATCTTACATATCCCTTAATTATCATAATTATAGCTGTTTTTACTACTTTTGGCTTTTAACCTTCATACTGTCTTTATAAGTGATTAATCCACTATCTTTACTATGTATTTACCTTTCCAGTGAGATTTATTTTCATATGTGTTCTTAGTACTAATTAGCACCCTTTCTTTTCAGCTTGAAGTCCTTTTAACATTTCTTGTAAGGCTGGGTTAGTGGTGATGACTCATTTAGCTTTAGCTTATCTGGAAAACTCTTTATCTGTTTTTCACTTCTGAGTGATAACTTTGCCAGGTAGAGTATTCTTGGTTAGCAAGGTTTTTTTCAGTCCTTGGAATATATCATGCCACTCCCTTCTGACATGCAATGTTACTGCTGAAAAATCTGCTGATTGCCTTATGGGTGTTCCCTTGTATGTAGCAAGTTGTTTTCTCTTACTGCTTTTAATGTTCTCTTCTCATCTTTTACTTTTGACATTTTAATTATAATGTGTCATGGTGTAGGTCTCTTTAGGTTCCTCTTATTTGGAACTTGCTGGGATTCCTGCATCTAGATGTCTGTTTCCTTCCCTGGGTTAGAGAAGTTTTCAGCCATTATATTTTCAAATAAAATTTCTGCCTCTATCTCTCTCTTCTCCTTCCTGGGGCCCTGTGGTACAAATGCTAGTCCATTTGATGTTGCCCCTTAAGTCCCTTAAAGTATCTTTACTTTTTGTAATTCTTTTTTTGTTTTTGATGCTTTGATTGGGTTAGCTCCACTGCCTTGTCTTTGAGTTGTCATCTGGTCTGCTCTTGAACCTTTTCAGTTCAGTTATTCTATTCTTCAACATTGTGACTTCCGTTTGACACTTTTTTTAAAATATTTTCCATCTCTTATTTGAAATTCTTACTGCATCCATCCGTTCTTCTCAGTTTGGTGAGCATCTTTATGACCATTATTTTGAACTCTTTATCAGGTAAATTACTTATTTTATTAAAGTTTTTAATTCTGAGGTTTTATCTTGTTCTTCCATTTGGAACATATCCTCTGTTACTTCATTTTGCTTGACTCTCTTGATTTCTATACAGTATGTGAGATGACTACTTCTCCCAATCTTTCAAAGGAGTGACCTCATGCAGATGAACCTTGTCATTCAACCCTGTGTTAGCTCTTGATTGTCTCTTAAATCTTTGTGCTTGTGCAAGCTGCCCATTATATTCTTAATAGTTCCCAGTAAGTGAGGATGTGCCAAGATCTCTGTGTCCCAAATGGGGGGATCTCAATGCTTAGGTTCAGGCTGACTGGAAACCACATCCTCAGGTGTCAGCTTTTAAAAGTATGCAAATATATACAGTGCTGTGTATCACAAGTGGAAGCCCCACCGACCGCAAAAACTAGGTGATCTGGAGGTGTCTATTGGGTGACACCCACAGAGATTGGGGCTCCAGACAAGTGTATAAGCCCTTTCCTGGGTGATACTGATGAACTGGAGCAAGGCCAAGAGAGAGAGCCAAGATGGCACCCACAGCCTATGTTCCTTGAGAGTGCGCCATAGGCCTCTACATGTATACCAGACCTGAAGCTTGCTCCTCAGGCTGAATCTCCAGGACAAGCAAAGGGGCCTCAGTCTTCATAGAAGACTGAGGACTGTGCCTCAGTCCACTGTCTATGCAGTGTCCTGGGTTGGTAACCTGCCAAGAACCATCTTTACGATTGCCATAGTCCCATGGGACCCAGAAATCCAAGCACCCCGAGCCACCATGTGATTAAGGAGTATCTACGGGGTGACAGCTGCAGAAACCAGGGCACCAGATGTGTGTAAATCTCCCCTCCAGGATACACTAGTGCTTTGGAGTATGTTAGAGGGTGAGCACAAGTCTCCAGAAAGGATTACAGCCAGCCCCAAGATGCCTGTTTAATTAAATACTGCCCCTCAGGCCTCAGTCATGATGATTAGGTTATAGCCCTCCTTCATTGAAAGACTGAGCCCCTCGGTTTGTTGCCTCTTGCTGTGCCCTGGGGGTAGTAGCTGTTTAAGAACTCTTTGTCCTTTGGTTACAGTCCTGTGGGACCCACAAGTGTAAGCCCCACTGGCCACCAGAGCCAGGCGATGTGGTGTGGTATCTTCTGGCAGCAGTCCCAGAACTCAGGGTGCCAGACAGAAGTATGAGCTCCTTTCTGGGTGACACCGATTATCATAGTCGTATTAGACCAGGAGTGTAAGCTCCCCTGGCCTCCAGAGCCAGGTGATCAAGAGGTGACTCCTAGGTGGCAGCCAGAGAAATTGAGGCACCAGACACACATAAAAGGTCTTTAACTAGAGATTCTGGTGCACTGAATCCCAGCAAAGGGAGAGCACAAAGATAGCACCTGCCAGTCTCCATCCCCAGAGAGTGTTCCAGCAGGCTTCTACGTGTGTGTTAAATTAGATGTCTGTCCCTCAGGCCAGTGCTTTAATAGAAGCAGGTGAGCCTCCTTCACTTTAAGTCTGGGCACAGTCAGCTGCCTCTGAGCTGGGCCCTGGGGCAGGTCAGTTTCTCAGATCACTAGAGTCTTGTGGGTCTCAGGATGTGAGCCCTGTTAGTTTTCAAAATTAGATGTTTTGGGGGCACCTGGGTGGCTCAGTCGTTAAGCTGCTGTCTTCGGCTCAGGTCATGATCCCAGAGTCCTGGGATCGAGTCCTGCATTGGGCTCCCTGCTCCGGGGGAAGCCTGCTTCTCCCTCTCCCACTCCCCCTGCTTGTGTTCCCTCTCTCGCTGTGTCTCTGTCAAATAAATAAATAAAATCTTTAAAAAAAAAATTAGATGTTTTGAGGCCTCATATCTCAAAGTGTATGTCTTAGAAGTTGGGATGCTCAGTGTGGGGTTCGAACATTCCTCAGGGGGAAGCTCCAGGTTTTGAGTTCCCAGTTATAGGATACTGCACTAGGGGTGAGGTTTATGGGGAGACTGTATCCCAGCCTCTCCTACTTTCTCTGATGGTTTTCTTCTCATTTGCATAGTCATCAGTCAGATAGCTTCTGGATTTTTCTAAGAGGAAATTATTTCATATGTTGCTATACAATCTGCATGTCCATGGAAGGAGGTGACTTCAGGATCTTCCTACACTGCCATCTTGAACTGGAACTCTAGATGCTTTCCTTAGCATGACGATATCTTTATTGTTAACTTTATTATTTCATCTTGATTATGCAAAACACAATTAACTTCTAGTTCTTTTTTCTCTAGCACATGATAGTGATGGAAGACATGCTGAAGGACTTTCTTCTCGGAGAACACCTATTATTGGTTGGTAACCAGGTGAGTTATGTGTGGCTGGAACTCAATTACTAATGAATACATGATAATAACAGCTTAAAAGTGGTAAATTTTTTCTCCTTGTTGGAATATGTTTTTAGAGGTGATTCTTTTTTTCCAACTAAATGAGCGCATTTTTTTTTGTGAGATTCTTTTTTCCAACTTTAATTAAGCACAAAGGGTCTTCCACCTTCTAAAATTTAGAATTACCTCAGAGCTGAAATCACCATTCAATCTCCCATCAAGTTCTGTCTGTTCTGACTCATAAACATCCATTCTTCCTTCCCACATCTGTCAGCCTAGCCCAGCTCATCATCTCCTATCACCTGGACTGCAGCAGTCCTTTGCTAATATAGCTCTACCTCATCCTTCCTTCCACTCTGATCTACTCTTCACTCTGCAGCCAGATTGATATTTGTCGAACTAAAATCTGACTCAGTCTCTCTTTTTTGCTTAAATTGGCTTCCCATTGCTCTTAGGTATAGTCTTCAATATGGCTAGCGGTGTCCTGCAGGATCTGGCCTCTGCCTGCCTTTCTAGTCCTAAGCCTTGTCTCCTTCCTTTGTCTCACTCGGTAGTAGGTTGAGCCACTCTGAACTTCCTTCAGTTTTATCATCTCTGCCCTGATCCTCGGTGCATGCTCTTCTCTACATGGAGCACTCCCAGTCCCCTTCTCCACCCCCTTCCCCTAACTCCTGAGGGGTCTTCCCTTGTCCCTAGCTGAGTTAGGTTCCCCCTACTTTTACACCTTTCTATTTCCCTGTCACCACACTAGTTATGTTACTCTGTTTACATATAGAATGATTGTCTTTCCAACTTATCTTTGTGATCCTCAAGGGCAGGGACCATAGTTCTCTTGCTTATCTCTGTATCCTCAGTTCCTAGAACAGTGTCTGCTACATAGTAGATATTCAGCATGTGTTTATGGAGGCAATGGATGGACATTTTCTACTTAGAATGTTCTGATAATGTTCCCCAATTGAATTATCAGATTCATTAGTGAACAGCAACTTTGGTTTTTTAAATTGGTCTTAAATTAACAATAAACTTTCAGAAGAGTTTGGTCTTTTTTTTTTCTTTTTTTTAACTTTTAAAAACAATACATATTCTTTATATATTTAGTCCTCAAACTTATAATTTAAAGTGTTGATTTTTTTTTTTTTACATAAAAATGGGCCAGTTGAATGTCTTACTGATTGAGTGCACAGGTTTGGAAGTTAGCTGGCTAGAGGTGTAGTAGGAACCCTTTCCTGGATGGCTGTGACTGTGGGCAAATCGCTTATCTTACAAGGCTCGGTTCCCTGATAGCAAACCTGGACATAAAAATAGCATGTACTCAGGTAAGAGCCATGTGACTCTGGGGACTGAGGAGAGCTATGCAGGATGAGGGTGGGGTAGAACAGAGGTTTGCTTCTACTTTATGATAAATGAAAAAGGGGCAATGTGCTTTGAAATTACTCTAGAGCACTATACAGATGTTGGTGGGAAATCCAGTCCCAAAGAAGAGAACAAGATAGTAGGACAAAGGGCTGGGCAGTAGGGCAGAGCGAAAAGCCGCTACAGCTCTGTGGGTCCATGCCTGGACCCCAGCACTTGGTGCGGATAGGAGATCCACTGATTTTCAGGCTTGCCTCAGGTTGGCTCGGCAACCACTGGGGAGAGCTGGCAAGTTGAGTTTTCTCAGAAGGAGCAAGGCTGGGGGCATGGTTATCACAGGCATCTCTCAATCACCGGGTCACAAACTGCACCTTTCATCAGCAGATCACAGTGTCTTCCCTTCTTTTGTCCTTGTTCTGTCACCCTCCGCTTTGGAGAAAGAATAATTTACAGAGGGAGATTGTATTCAGTGTAAATTTGCTACGTTTAACTGGCCTTTTTCATATCAGAAGGGTCTTTTGTTCATTCATTAGAAACCTCTAAGACCATCAGTGTCATATAATAGTACCAATGTTGGAGGAACTTACAGATTTACTAAGTAAATTCTGCTCCTGTGTCCATTGAATTATCTCGTGAACAAGACTAACTCTTTTAGGCTGTTTGATGTCCTCCTGCCATTTGATGTCCTCCATTGTCTAATCCCACTGCATACAGCCTGTCTCATTCCTTCCCTCAAACTCTTGTTGTCAGATACATTTAACACTATTTTCCAAACCTATCTTCTTATCAATGTCTTATCCCAGTCTTTGACCTTACCAGCAAGCTCTCTTCTTTCCCTCATCTTTGCCTTTTGAAATTCTTCCAACCCCAGAGTGGCAATATACTCTCACTGACTGAATTCCTTATTTTGTAAATTTGCAACTGTCAGTGAAGGAAACAAATAAATTAGATAGAATCCAGGGAGTGCCTATTTAAGAGAATAAGAGAGTAATGGGCTTTTTCTTTATTCTTCTCTCTCTCTTTTTTCCCTTATCTGTAAAATGGTGGGATTGGAATTGGTATTTTGTAAGGTCCCTCTGGCTCTAATATTCTATAATATGCTTCTTTAATAAAGTTTTCCTGAACACAGGCCTGAAGCTTTGGCCCCATTCCCTGAGCTGTTATAGCAGCTCAGTTACTGATTTCTTTTGGCTTGCCTTAGACTTATGTATCTACCTGCCATCTCTCTACTAAACAGAGAGAGAACCCCTTGAGAAAAGCTTTAGTTATTTTTGACTAGCATGCAGTAGACATTCAACAAATGTTTGCTGAATAAATCGGAGCCCGTTCATCTTATAGATGAAATTTGGTACCCGTTTACCCACCTCTCCTTGTTATCCCACCCCCAGCCCCCAGCCACTTCTCTACTCTGTTTCTGGGTTCAACTTCTTCTTTTTTTTTTTTTTTAATTCCACATATAAGTGACACCACACAGTATTTGTCTTTCCCTCTCTGGCTTAGTTCACTTCTCACAGTGCCCTCCAGGTTCATTAGAGTTAGACTCTTGACTGCTTCCATTTGGTACGTACAAGGCAGTGTGAAGCCGCCTGCAGTATTTGTTGGCAAAGGCAGAGCAAGAACCCCACAGAGGTGTGTTTTGCTAAGGCTGGAATGGAGTTTCGTGTTCTCCTTCCCTGCGCTTGCCTCAGAGTTCTGATCTAGATTTCTCATTCAGGAATGTGTGCTTTTGCATACATAGTAACTCATCAGTAGCTTTGAAAATGCCTGGCTTCATTGATCAGTGGCATTTCAGCACCTCTCAATATTCTATGCACCTTCTCAACTGCGCCCTTATTTCTATCTCGTGAAACAGAATAACAAATAAAGGAAAAAAAGACAGGCAAGTAGAGTTAGAGCTTGTAGGTTGAGGACTGCTGACTCTCATGGGGCGATGTCACTGGTGTCTTCACTCAAATGCACAGTGACAAGTGAGAAAATGCCTATTTTAATCACATGATTTATTTTGTTTTTTTAAATTTTCTTAAAGATTTTATTTATTTGAGAGCGAGAGTAAGCGAGAGAGCGAGCGCACAAGCAGGGGGAGGGGCAGAAGGAGAGGGAGAAGCCGACTCTGCACTGCGCAGGGAGCTCATGCGGGGCTCCATCCCAGGACCATGGGATATGGCCTGAGCAGCCGCTTAACCGACTGAGCCATCCAGGTACCCCCACGTGGTTTATTTTGAACCTAAGTAAACTATTTTTAGCAGTTGATCAGGCTCCTTTCTTTCTCTTTCTAAAACGTTATGTGATGACTACTCAAAAAAGAAAAGAAAGAAATCAGAAGTATAGCTTTGGGGATTCAGCATTGGCAAAGAAGCCAGCAGTGGGTTGGTGTAATTACACAATAAAGTGGGATGAACGCTCTTAATACAAACTGTCTATAGATACATACAGTCTACCTGGCCATCTGTTTGCAAACTAGAAACTGGCCGAAGTCCATGAAAGAAACTTTCTCATAGTTGAAGTTACACATTTAGAGATGTCTCAAAGGATTGCTCTGTTATCAGGAGCAGCTTTTACAATGAGCAAATTCAAGAGTAAGTGGTAATCTTGACGTATCTCAAGGTTTATCATCTTTATAAGCCCAATCCCACCTTTTCTTTCCATATAATACTCTCTTTTCGAAGAAACCTGATATTAGACAAGATTTTATAACTGTTGGGAAGCTGAGAAGAGTTCCATAAACATCACTTACCATAGCAAAATTAAGTAGGCCACATCTTATTTTGGTGAAGTAAAATTGATTTTTTTTTTATCCTTTCAATTTTCTGTGTTGGATTTCATGGCACAGTGTGGCAACTTCCCAGCAAGAGAAGCAGAATTGCTGCCTGTCAGCCAAAAGGGATAGGTGCCTGAAATTACACACGTCTGATGGTCCCTTGTACATAAGCTGCATATTGTAGAATGACTTTCATATGCCTCTACATGCATTATTTTCCACTACTTTAATTATAACATCACATGTGCCTTTGGTGCAATTAGGAGTCCTCATGCTGCCTTTTTTTTTTTTTTTTAAATCACAGCATGAGTTTCTATTTATTTTAGCTTTACTGAGAGGGAAGAAAAAGAAATGCCTATTTATTTTTGAGTTAGTGATGCTTCTTCTCTCCCAACTCTACTGGAGAATAAGCCTTTTTTCTTCCCATATTTTCTTTTCCTTTGATTTATAGAGCTGTATTCTGTTTGATACACAAATTATTGATTGTGAATGTTTGGGGTTATAGAATCAACCTGTAGGTGCATAATTTTTGTTGTTTAAAAACTCTGTAAGAATAAACTTATGATTTTATGTAAGGACGCTTGAATTTTGAGAGACAGTTGCATTTTATCCCATATTTGAAGGAAGAATTATTCCAGCCATACAGTATTTTTAAAATGCTCAGGTATCCCCTTACATAAGAGTTATTTTTCTAATATGTAGTATTTTATTTTAGGGGATAAAAATTTAGATAAAATTGCAAAGCAAATCATCAAATTTTAATTTATATTAACGAGACATAGTTAATGATTCAAAATGACTTCTAGAAGGTAGCGGGAGGGGAAGAATGAAGCGGGGGAAATCGGAGGGGT